TTTCTATTTGAATATGTTTTAAAATGTAATTTATTTCTGTGATGAAAGCTGAATTTTCAGCATCATTACTCCAGTCTTCAGTGTCACATGATCTTCAGAAATCATTCTAATATGCTGATTTGCTGCTCAAGAAACATTTCTCATTACTAGCAATGTTGAAAACAGTTGTGCTGCTTTATATTTTTGTGGAAACTGTGATACATTTTATTTTTCAGGATTCTTTAATGAATAGAAAGTTCTAAAGAACAGCGTTTATTTGAAATAGAAATCTTTGGTAGCATTATAAATCGAGGATTCCCAGTGAACGATGGGTAATGTGTATGGCACGCTCTGGCGCTGCTTTAGCTCATATGAATGATTGAACAGTCTGGCTTTGAGCTCCACTATTAATGGCTTCTGAGTCACTTCTGAATGACTATGGAGAGGTTTTGCAGTGATACAGTTAATATAACAGACGGTGGATGTTTAAACTGCTTTAAGTATTAACAGGTTCTTGGAAGATACATTCATACAAATTGTAAACTACTTGGGAAAGTTTTTTTATTTTCAATTGTCATTCATTTTCACTTTGAATTTTGTTAAAGTTTCAGTTTAGTTTTTATTTTAGAAATTGTTTAAGGTTGCTATACAGTTAGCACACTTTGTATTTAGATTTTTTAAAATCTTTTATGTTACTCACTCACTCACTCACTCACTCACTCACACACACACACACACACATATACATTTACACACATACACGCACATATGCAAACACACCGCGTTCATGGAGAATACAGAATCTGACCGTTTTCTCTCTCTTTCTGAAGGAGTGACAGCTCTTTTAGGTTCTTTGTCTTCTTCTTCATCTATATCTGCCAGTTTGGTGTCCATGTGCTGCAAGCTATCGGCATTGCAGGTTGGGGTGCTAGGTGAGAAAACACACACACACACACGTGCACACCAGAATCTTAACCCGGAAAAAAGGGCAAAAACACTGCTGAAAGTGATGCAAATGCCCCAGATATTTAAAATGGTGGACTCATTAAGCATTTCAGTCTATTTAAAAAAAAATACTTTCTAACATTTTATATATTTTAAATGTCAATTTTTTGTAATAGCTTAAAATTTGTGATAAAATTTGTTTTTTATCAAAGATAAACTTTAAAAACGTTTTATACATTTTTTTGTTTATATATAGATATTTATTTATATACTTTTTCTGTTTTTCACTTGTTTCTCACCATGAATATATTAGTTGTGATAGCTGACATTTTGATAAAATGTAAGCAAATATTTATTCTGTTCTGGATCTGTGTAATGATGCATTTAGTGCTTCTAACACTAGATTTGTAGATTGTTGAATATGTAACTAAAATGAAATGCAAATTTTATTGAAAAGAAAAAAGTTAAATCACTAAATGTGGGGGAGAAACGTTCCCAACAGTTTCAAAACGTGAAAAATGAAAACATAACAATTTACAGTATAAAGCTGTTTAATCAAACATAGTGACCGGATAACTATTGAAAATGGCTTGTTTATGTTTATTGTATTAATGTATTTTATGGCTTATTTACAGCTACATTTGAATTAATTAAAAAAAAAATTAAATTAGTTATAATTCTTCACATTGATGATTGATGTAATTTAATTTGCTCGGATGGATGACGTGCTGGTTTTTATAAGGGTAAAAAACAAAAACGTTCCCAAAAATGGGAAAAAATGCCCTTGAAAATCAAATCTAGGTGGCAAATAATGACACTTAATAAAAAATTTTAATTTATGGCACAGACCCTTTCACTTACCTTCCATTTCACATGACTTTACATTGTAACGTTGTGGAGCTGTGTGTTATGAAGAGTGATCCGCTGTTTGTGTTTGTAGCGGCTGGATCTCAGCGCTGACCGGGCTGAACACAAGTATTCCCGTCGGCATCATCATGATCCTGATTGCTGCACTCTTCACTGCATCGGCTGTCATCTCTCTCATCATGTTTAAAAAGGTGCTTCACCTTAAACAATTCATAACATATAAATATAATATTGCTTCACCTCAAAAGCACTTGCATAGACTTCAGAGCTGAACCAAAACAGTGTGGCTCTACTTATTCAAAGCCAATACTGTTAAAAGTTGTTTTTGTTAATTGAAATGAAGCTGAAATCAAGTATAAATATTACATGAACATCTTTAAATTGAAAAAACAAACAAATAAACAAGAATTAGAAATGTTGCCTTGGCAACAGACTGAAATTAAATAAGGTTAAGTTCTAAAATGACTAAAACTGAAAAAAATAAATAAAATAAAGTTACATAGAAATATTAAATGTAGCCCCAAAACTAATCAAACTGACCAAAGCACATAACAAAATTACTAAAACTTAGACTAAAATTTAAATGAAAACTGGAAATATAAATATAAAAATAATTAAATGAACTGAAATAAAATAAATTTAAGTTGAAGTACTAAAATGACTTAAACTAAATAATGTAAAAAATGAAATAAACTTAAATTTAAAAAATGACAAACACTAAAAAATGACAAGCACATAACAAATACACTAAAACAAACTAAAATAAAAAATATAAATATACATAAATGATACTGAAATAACATTAAGCCATAAACACAGTGAAAATTGCTTTTTCAGTTTAGTCTCCTGTTATTTCATTATAACTAGGTTTTGTGCCTGTATGTAATAAGTTGAAGATCAAAATTATAAGTGAAATAAAAATAAAGCTAAATAAACTGAAAATGTCTAAATAAAAGCTAATTAAAAATGTTAATAAATACTATAATAGTACAATAATAATACTAAAACAACACTGAACCATAAACCCATTGAAAATCTGTCAAACTCAGGTCTAATCAGGTTGGTAGTTAGTAATCAAGCTTACATGTGTTTATTTGCAGGTTCATGCGCTGTACCGAACCACTGGCGCCAGTTTTGAGAAGGCGCAGCAGGAGTTCGCCACCGGCGTCATGGCCAACAAAACGGTACAAACCGCCACCGCTAACGCCGCCTCCTCTGCTGCCCGGGGAGCCTTCAAAGAGCAGATCTGATTGGTCCAGAGAACTCTGACTCCGCCCATGCTACTCTGACCCCGCCCTCCGCATTCCTCCAAACTGTCTTTTCAGCCATTCGTCATCTCAGACTGGCTGTTCAAGACCACACCCACTCTCATTGACTTAATGCACTCCTGTGACTGACAGACTCCGCCCACAGCCCCGCCCCTCCTGTCAATCAGCAGGTGTGCTCACCTGTTCTTTAGTTGGAGTGTGTGTGTGTGTGGTGGAACGCCTGTCTGCGTGTAAACAGCCTGAAGAGTCACTTTATATGTTCACATCACATCAGTTTGTCCCTGTTAAACAACAGGAAGTGATGTCATCCAGTGTCTTTTTATGGGATCCAGGGAAAAAAGAATGGTTATGCCCTCACAGGTCTGTCTTACCGATCATCTCTGCTTAAACACTCATAAAATCACACCGAAAACATGTCCAGGTCACAATTAACCTCAAAATCCTCAGAAAATCAACATTTATGATATTTTGTCTCATTTTTGTGACAGTCGAGCACATTTAAATGCCTATTATTAACCATTAATAATTAATAACCATGCTTAATTGTCACAAAAATGTCATAATGCAAATGTCATGTACATAATATAATTTTTTTACATTCAAATATTTTTTTTGCTTTTCTGTAGATTTTGGTATGTAACATGGCATTTTGCATACAAAAATGCGCTTTTTTTATTTTGGATTGTATTACTTTTTTTCTTAAAATTTCATAAATCTTTGGTTTTTGGGGTATAACATGACATTTTGCTAAACAAAATTTAGCTTTTCTTTAAATTTTGGGGTATAATATGACCTTTTGTACAACAAAATTTGCCTTTTCATTAGATTTCAAAGTATAACATGACATTTTGCATTAAAAAGTGTTGCTTTTCTTTGGATTTTGGGGTATAACATGACATTTTTGCATAAAAACAATCGGCTTTTCTTTGGATTTTGGGGTATAATATGACCTTTTCTTGGCGAGATTCACCCAACTATCATTGTAAACGCTTCTTCCTGCAAATGAGCCATCAGTACACGAAGACAGCCATTAGATGTGACCCTAAACCAGGGCTGTACAAACTCGGTCCTGGAGGGCCGGTGTCCTGCAGAGTTTAGCTCCAACCCTAATTAAACACACCTGAACCAGCTAATCAAGCTCTTACTAGGCATAGAAACTTCCAGTCAGGTGTGTTGAAGCAAGTTGGAGCTAAACTCTGCAGGACACCGGCCCTCCAGGACCGAGTTTGGACAGCCCTGCCCTAAATGCTCCACACGCAACTCTTTACCTGTAAATATATAAATGTATATATTAAACCTGTATGATGACATAAAGTATTGACTGATTTTAAACATGAATGATTTTGAGGCTTTCTGGTTTCTTTTTTATTTCGAATAGAGTTGTTTTGGAATGGAAACTAATTCTTAAAAGCGTGAACCACTCAGGATACGTTCCTGCACATGCATGGGAAGCTTGCCGAGCTCTCTAGGATAAACTGGAAAACACTTTTAAAATCACAATTAAAATCCGTGCATCGCCAACAACACGTGGCATTTGTCCTGCAGATGTGTGTAAGACTGTGCCGTGCTGGGCCGTCCAGATGTTGGATCCTGAATCACATTGTCTGTCGTCGTTTGTCGTTTGAAGTGTAGAGCTTTTTAAGTGACGTTTGTTTTCCTCTTTTTATCGACTGGAGCAGAGAACGTTGTAGCCTTGGTTACTGTCGCTAAGAGAGAGCCAAGTTTTGCGATTATGGGATATGCATCAAGATGCGAATTGATCTTGATCTTAACCTTTCAGCAACACTCTTTGTGTGTGTGTGTGTGTGTGTGTGTGTGTGTGTGAGAGAGAGAGAACAAACTGTTCATTTATTTTCAGTATTGAGTTTGTTTGAAGTCTTTATAATTTATACATTTTAAAGAAACAGTTCACCCCCCAAAAAAGTCATTTTTGGGGTGAACTGTTTTGATATGTTCCTTATTTTGTCATATTTGTGTTCTGAATCTTTTTCCAATCGTGTACAGTTCTCTTTACACTCTGTGTGTGTTTGTGTGTGTGTGTTACTGCAAGCCGTTCTTCCTTTTATAAATACATTTCAACAAATGGCACCTGAATGTTCCTCTATTCTTGTTTGTTTCGAAATGCTTTCATTCAAAACAGGGGGAAAAAAACAAGAATCTGTTGGGAGTGCGAGACGACAGATAAACTGATGTGACCTCTTGTGTTTGGTACAATGGATCGTGGCTTTAAGCTGTCTTTTTTTAATTAGCGATGTTAGTCATCTTAGTTGAAACACTGATACGTGAGGAACGGATTGAAGAGAAAGCATCACTGGTTCTACTACTACATTGACATACTATTTAAAACAGACGCGAGGGATATTTGTATATTTTGTATAACTAAAGGAATGGTGGCCTGTCGTCCTGAATTTCATTGTACTGTACAAATGCACTCCTGTCTCGCTCCCTTAGTCGCATGTTGAGTAGTTTGAGTTTTGTATATTTATTGTATTAAAACAAAAATAAAATAAAAAACTGCATTAACCATGCGTCCTATTTATTATGTAATGATTTTCATTTCAGTTTATATATATTAAACATTAGGTAATGTAGTCTGACTTCTTTTAGATTACTTTTGATCACAGTCTGGAGTGGGATTATTGTGTATCATATTGATTAAAAAAAAGAAAATATATTTAATTCTTTGTTGTCATGAAATTTATATATATATATTCTGTTCACATTAGAAATGAGCAAAAAAATTGATGTTAATCATCTTTTAATGACTTCTGCCCCCTCCAGGACGATTATAGAACAGTCTAAAAGCTTGACCCAATTATTGTGCAGTATTTATGCGTTAATATGCTGAAACTATAGCAATTGTGATCATAAATACCTGGTTTAATGCTCCAAAATCCTCAGATGTCTTTGAGAGAACTGAAACAATCATCTAATTTTGAATGTTTTATAATTGTTTCTTTGCATTTTATATAGACTTTAAACACTACGAGACAGTGGAGACTAAAATTCAGTTAAAAAATATCAGATTAGGTAAGGCAAGATGAGACAATAAATCATAAAGGTTTCGGTGATTCAGAATCTCGGGTCGTTTTATTAGACGTTTTGCAGACATTGGTACACGAAAATGTTTAATCGTTTAGATCTGTTAACTACGAAGATTGGTATCTCACATACAGCTAAAAATCCCGAAAATAAATCTATAAAAAAAAAAAATGAAAAAGATTGTTATCCTGTAATCGCATCTGATTGGTTCAGCCTCAGCAGCGTTGAGAAAAGTAACAGACGTCACGTGATAATCTGTTACGCTTCATCTGCGGTCTAAACAATAGTTTATACCTTAATAATGACATCGAAAAACTTTAATAGCGATTGACTTGGAAAATACACAGTAATATTTGCAAACAAAATAATTATTATTTATACCCATCGTAACTGACCAATTAGAGACACCTATTGTGCCACGAAACCCCGCCCATTCGCCCAGTCCGCCAGTAGAGGGCGATACTGCACCACTATTCAAAATCACACTCACGAAAGTATATTTAGATCAAAACTGCCTAATTTTACATTTACATTAATTTTACTTAGATTATTTAATTCAGTTGCTTTTTTACACTCAACCCAAAGTGAGAACAGGCATTTCAAATTGATTAGAAATTATTTTTAATATCTATTAATAATAAAAAATGACTTGCATATGCACAGAAATTATCTGTTATTTATGTGACACCCCCTCCATATCGATACCAGGACACAGAAATAAAAACATCAGCAAAAGCAGAAATTTTCCCTCATTATTTGACTGTAAAATGAGTCACACCTTTCTTACCTGAGCGGTCACGTGATCGCTGAGGAATGAGCTGCAGTCTTGAAGGAAAGAGGGGAAAAAGACAGCCTCCATCCCTGTGTGTGTGTGTGTGAGAGTGTGTGTGTGTGTGTGTGAGTGAGTGGAGTAAAGCTTCTCCTCGACCGACCAGTTTTTCCAGTCTGACTGAGAAGAACACACAGAGAACAGCTCTTCCACACCGACACGGAGCGAACATGGAACAATAAAACACATTAAACCCCTTCAAGAGGATTCACACAAGACGATTTGAGATCGGTAAGCTATGCTTGACTGTTAAAATACGCTTTTAAGGGGGTTATGTTCTTGTAAACGGTGTTGTTGTAGGTGTGTCACACCTGAGTTCCTCTACCTGTGTGTGTTTTGATTGAGAAACTTCACGGTGATCCTCATCTGCGCGTTTGAGAAGATTTACTCCGGTTTTATCTTTAGAACATGCGTTTAAACGCTCATTAATGTTCTTTAATGATTCTTAGATTTCGTATAAAACGTTTGTCTTATGAAGAAACATTTATGGCTGTTGCTGTGTGGTTCTTTCTTTGGAGGTTGATACTTAATTGTGTTCTTGAGTTTAGCATATGAAGCTTTTAAACAATTCTCAAACCTTTATTTTAGTTTATGAAACCCTCATGTTGCTCTTAGTGAAGTATCAGTTAATATAGTATTTTTCTTATGAGTATGATAACAGATTATAAACAAAATTTCAGTTTTTGCTTAACATTTGTGCACTAAACATACAGTCCTATAATTTTATTTACTGTGCACTCTGCTTGTTCCATCGTGATTATGCACAAAATGACTTGTCAAACATACTTTAAATATCTCTCATCAAAACAATATTTTTGTTTGAGGTTTCTGAGACCCCAGATGCTTGAATGCTTGAAATTATACCAAATTTATTTTATAATCAGAAAAAAATGGTGCACATGAAACTGTCACAGTTTGAGCATCTTTTGGAGAGCAACATATGCACGTAATATTAACATCTACTGGTTATAATTAATCAGGGTTTTGTCTTGGAAATTTTCGAATTGTGATTTTCAGGCCTTGAGAATTCACTGAAATTAATACAATTTGAATACCATGCTTCCATAGTGAATTTAATGTCTTCTACACTGTAAAAAAAAATATATATATATTTTCGCTTGTTGTTTGTCATTTCTCCGATCACAAATGCAGACATGGTTTTATGTTT